GTGCACAAGCTTCAAACTTCAGCGTTGGCTGCGATTTTGACGCTGAAATCGCGTTCGGTGTGAACGCACCATTAGTAGACAAGATGGCGGCTGTCTGTAGTGGCGACCCGCGACCATGGAGATATAAACAGCTTTTTATAAGGTAAAAATAATAAAACAAGGTCTTTGTCTGCAATGATTAGACATGTTTTTATTATTATTGTCATTAGTGACMATCTCAATTTCGGCRAAAAGAATTGACAAAATCCTACACACTGTGCCTTTAAAGTAAAGTAATGAATTMGCTCTTTTCCAATGACTTGGCAACATTACCTAAGAAGTACAAGGTTGTTTTTTTAATCGCCAAAAAGGAGAAACTATGTTTTTGCCCTTTCTTACATTTGTCCTAGTTTTGCTGCTCATTTCCCCAAAAGCTTTCATTTGAGTAAAATAAACCTCTTTAGACATTTCACAGGAAGCCCTTACTGTGATTCTTTTTGGCAGCTAGATTTGCTTTTCCTTCTTGCTCTCTTCCTTTTTATCCTGATGTTCGTCCTTATCTCCTATCAGACCTGACCTCCAGAACGCACCTGTTCCTCATCCGATTTTTCACCTAGCGGTACATCTCGCCACACTGCCTTATTGCCGTCACAAGTCACATGGCTCCTGTCCTCTATATCTTAATAACAATTAGGATGAAAAATCAATACAAAACTGCAGCGCACCAAGTTCAGAAACCCTCTCCCTTTCCGGTTCAGCAACCGGCCTGCTTGATGAAGGGTGAGGAGCAGAGAGGTGAGAGAGGAGGTTAAACAAAAAGGAGAAGGTCAAGCAGACCTGCTGGGAAATGCCACTAACGTTTTCCCTCATGACGACAGCGGGGGAAGGAAGTCAGAGGGAAAGCGTACACACAACAGATTGTGTTTGAATGCACACAGCGTTGTCCTAATCAGGTGAAATCAGGTGAAAGCTGCTGCCCAACACAGGAGAAGTAATTTAGGCTCAAGCTTTATTCCAATTTACAGCGCGAGAAACGACCCACTTAAATGATCTAAATGTTACCGGAATGCTTGAAAACTTTCTGARCCCAAACAGAAAGATGTAATCAATGCACTGCTTGATGTTTATCTGTCATAAGTTGCGTTTCCATTGACCACTGGAAATGCGCAACTTAGAATTTCGAAAATAAATTTGCTGCATGGAAACACGTCCATTTTGAAAAAATGTGTTTTTCGACAAAATGTTTTTGCGCTAGGATAAGGTAGTTTTTCGGCCGTATTGAAATGGGTGTTTTTCGCAAAACTGCAATGGAAACACTTTTTTCGCATCACGGGATTCACGTGAGCTACAACCAGATGTTTCTACTGGCAAAAAAGATGACTAAGAGGAAGACAACAGGAAGTAGAAGTAGTAGTAATAACACAGAAGTAGTAAAAAAAATAGTAAACTCACCGACTAAAATTTCCCAAAAACAGCATTCGTTGCCACTCCCAAGTATAAGGGGCTTGTCGCCGGAAAGCCTCGATAAAAGACGCCAACGTCTCCTCTGATAATGAGCGCTAGTGTTGTGGTAGCAATATGCTATGTGTTTACATCCATCGCCACCATGTTCGTAATGACTTATCGCGAGAACAAACGTATTCACGCGTGACTTTAATAGCATTTCTTACTTAATGGAAACACTGCAGTTGCCAAACTGTGTTTTTTCGACATTAACAGAATATCGACAAAGTTTTGCGTACATTTGCAACGGAAACGCTGCTATGGTCAGCCAACCTAACTGGTGTTTTATGAAGAAAATGTAGAGGCGAAGACTGATAACTTGTTTTCTGTTTTTTTGTTTGTTTTTTTCCACATTAAATCTGTTTGGATTTCTCACTTCCCGTTCTTAAAATTGTGACCAGACTTGACAACGTAATCTAATTGGGACAGAYTAAATCTAAAAAGAAGGACTCTGACTTTGTAATCTGCACCTGTACCATGTGACACAGTTTCAGACTGAGGCACTGCATGGTGTCTAGACATGTCCACACGCAGACACCACCAGGGGAGCTTGTTGTTTTCAGACACACGCTCCAAACAGAATATCACTCAATGTATAATAATAAAAAAAACATATACAGTCATCCTGTGGCAGGATTAAAGCGATTTAATGCATTAGCTCTCGAATTCTATGCAAATCGATGCATTCAGGTGAATAAACACATTCCAGCAAAGTGACAAGGACTGTGTGACAAGCGAGTCTGCTGCGGGTCCTATAACGAGACAACAGCTGTGCCTATATAAAAACGGGCACAGTGACGCAGCATCTTTGCAGAAGCACCCAAGGACATACGTGAAGAGGGGGAGAAATACAAAGTCAAGAGAAAACCGTAAGAGGGAGAGTTTGAGAGACTCACCTGCCTAGATGAAAARGTGTCTGCAGCTCAGGAGACAGGATATTCTCCAAAACCTGAAAGAATGACAAAGAGTGAGAGGGGAGGGGGTGGATGAGGAGGGAAACAGAGAAAGGAGAGGATTAGACTTCTACCAGCTCTTTGGGAGAACGGTCTCAGTTCAACGCCGACAAACAACAACAATCCTCAGAACTCTGAACAGAGAGCGAGAGAGAAAAAATAAATGATAAACAGCAATTCAGGTGGGAGAAAACACCCGACCGGAGGAGTGAAAAGGAGCCCGGTGCTCGCTGGTGGCAGTCCAAAAAAAYAAGAAGAAGAAGAAAGKGATAAAGTGACAGCGGGAAAGACGAGCTTGTTGGTGAGAGTGGGTGTTTGTGCCTGTTAAAGCCACATGTGCAGRGTTCATTCAACTGCAGCCAAACAGACTAACAGGTATCTTCACTGTTTTTTTTCTGCTGCTCTCTTCTCTCACACGAGGCTCATGAAAGGATGAACACAACATGCAGGGCCATTAATCACATACACCACTGTCGATGAGAGCAGACACTCACTAATTGACTTGAGTCACATTTTGAACATATGGGCCTCTGTGGTACAAAGCTGTTCAAAATAATATATGTTTTTACATTAACACAAGGGGTTTTCTCCTTTACTACTATGTATTATTCAAACATATCCTAAATAGCAGTTTTAAACAAAAAATGTTTTTGATTTGATGGTCAGCTACTGAACTTGAAACATGCAAAGACAGCAATTGAAAGACAACGGGCAACACAAAATAGGCCAAAGGTAGGTTTTTATTTTATCAACCTTCCATAAACACAAGATAAATATACTTTCAGACAAATAACATCATCAGTCATTCGTTTATTAATCGTCTGTGGTTCTTTCACAGCTTCTTCCCACAAATGCAGCTTTGAATCTGGTCAAAACGAAGGCTCAGCTTGCCAAGAGTGAAACTGTTTATTTTTCTCTGCATAATTACACAACGTCCGTCTGACTTCCCCATTATCCTTTCAACTGTACAACTTTAATCCAAACACAAAACGTCTCCATTAAGTTTTCTGAGTTTCAAATRTAGCAGCACTCTGACAAGAGGTGAACTAAATGATGATTATAAGCCATTGTGTGAACCAGCTATTCCTAACAAAGCCTTTAAGCTACGTCAACACACCGTCAAACGTGATGAGTTGGTGGCGATCTCGCTTTCTTTCTGCAACCTGCATTAACCTTTAGCAGTACCCCCATCCGCCCGACAGAAAATCTATAGCTCAACAATCTGCACCACTTTCTGCCCATTCAGCTGTTATTAACACAAACCATTATTAATCTCATCAGACAAATAATCTGGATCCACACATGACATGAATAATAAATCGACTACAGTATTGTGACCTCTYATCTGAGTGTCGATCAGTTTCACACTGACTGGTGGAACTGTTGCAAGTGTAATAACGTCTCACTTTTGATTGCTGACAAGAGAGGCAAAAGTGGGCTCATGTTTTTGCCCAAGTCTGAGGGTTGTAATTAAAAAAGTAGCATTAAAGGGGACCTGTTATGCAAAATTCGCTTTTTAAATGTTTTTTACTCAACGTTGGGTATGTACTTCTTAAAAAAAAAACAGTCCTAGGACCAAAAAACTGCACCCAGGGGCATATTTACTGTAAGTAAATGTATTTTTAATGTATATTAATGACAAGTTTTATACTTCCGTCATTTTGTGATGTCACAAGCCGTACGACAACCCACCGGAGCCTGCGTTCAGCCCCTTACCTAGCAACCCCCAGGTAAAGCTCCACCTCCTCAGTATAAAAAGTCGTCACGGTTGTTGTTGTGCAATGCGCAGCTCATTTCACAACAGGCCTCCAGTAGGGCAATGGGTAGAGTGTTTGACCAGAGACCAGGGTTCGAGATCAGCATGGACACAATTTAATTATTTATCTTCATTCGTTATGAACACGTTTTCTCATGTACCTCTATTGTTTAGCTTATTAAAGCCTTGTTAAAGCCTTTGAGTTTCTGAGGTATTTTGACCGCTGCTGCTCCCTGCTCTGGTAACAGCATGCAGAGTGAGCGCAGAGCAGAGGAGGGAGAAAAAAAAGAAGCTGCGACCACGACTCTGCCTCTGGGTCTCATATGGTTGTACAACGGAGCTTCTGCTATTATTAGCCATGCTAACGTAAACGCTGGCTTTGGAGGGCGGAGTTAATGTCAARAGATTTTTGGAGGGCGTTACCAACAGAGCTCATTAACATAAACAGCTCTTCTGAACGGAAGCCAGAGCAGGCAGAACTAGAAAATGGGAAATTTTATTATCTGAGAATTATTTTGTGCATTAAATTGAATGAACATGGTCTGGATAGCCCACAGACATACCATAAAAATTTCTAGGACCCATAATTGGTCTCCTTTAAACTCACAAATGTTATCACAGTAACAGCATCAGGTGAGACGCCAGTACAGAATGTCCCATTTCTCCTGTTTCTTATTGACACATTGAGCTAAAATTTGACTCTGTCCCTGAGTTCAGTCAGGGTTTATTTTGAACCAGTTTGAGTTTTAATTACTTAAAATCAAAAGCAACTGCTTTGCAATCTCAGGACATGATTTAAAGCTAAACATTACCCTTTAAGTGCTGAGTTAAAAAGCAAAGAAAAAGTGTCTCCTCTTTATGAAGGTCACAGCAGGCTGCTTGTTGGTTATCATGTTTTGCTTTCTTCACAAAAGGAGGTCCAAATTCACTGTTAACTAGAGGTTGTGAGGCTTCTCTGCTGCTCGAGCGGGGAAATAACTATAATTTTCCAGCATGCCAAAAGCCCGACAGGAACACATATTCTCCACGAAGGAAATGGAGGGTTGTCCTAAGAATAAAATCTGTAATAGCTAACTGCTGGAGATCAGGTTTGATTTTGCTAGAATGGAGCTGATGACAGGTGGTTTTCATCCAGAAAAATAAAGTGTAGGATGAAAAAATACTTATTTCAACGAAGTCTTTAAGAGTAAGAATTAAAACGGAACCATTTATAGCCTCAAGCTAGATAAAAAAAAAATAAAATAAAACACATGTACCAAATGCTTCCTAAGTCATCTTACAGGGATGCTTTCCCTAAATAGTGRAGAATCACTTGTCTTTGCATGATGTTTGATCAAATAGGAACATTACTGCATTATACACTGAGAATAATCAACTAAACACTCCCATGCACACACAGGCAGTCTCTCTGAAAACAACTAAAGCTCCTTATGTCAACATTTTGCTAGCATCAGGAGGCAGTAGGACAAAGAAAGCACATAAATAACATGGGGTGAGGAATAGGCTAAGAGGAATGTGGAGATGGAGCACCGAAAGCAAACATCTCTCCTCTCAGTCTATCAGGTTCTCCCTTTCAAAATAAGAGCACTCAGCTTGTTTTTTTGTTTTTTGGTTTTTTTTTTCTCGGATAGATCAAAAGCGAGAGTCACGAAGGAGAGAAATGTTGCATCTTTGAGTTTTATAAGTATACTTTCTTATTTTATTCGTCTCTTTTTCTGTTTCAGATATGTTTGTGATTTGAGGGGCAGCAGTCAGTGGCTGAAGTTGCAGATCATTAATCCTGCAGCTGAAGGCAAAAGGGCAATGTTTTTGAGTGCCTGTGTGTGAGAGCATGTTAGAAGCACTTAAAGGGGCAATCTCATATAAAATCAACTTCTTTTGAGTTTTATATCATGTTATAATGTTATATAAAAAAAAGCATGCCCAAATCCTTGCTCTGACTCATTCATGCATGTTTGAGAAATCCTGCAGCGTTTTTAGGAAGCCATGCTGAGGAGCAAAACGACAGGTGGGGACCAGGAACACCTTTTGGGACCAGAAACGCCCCTGGGACATGTCTTTAAGTCGAACTTCCTCATGGCGGAGCCCCCAACCATGACTCCTGCAGGCTCTCGAGTAGTGCTGGGCGGTATACCGTTTTGTACCGAATACCGGTTTTTATTTTTTTTATGATATGAATTTTTTTAATACCAGATATTCCGGTTTAAATAGTGGAACGTTTCATAGCAGCCGCCAGTGAACTGTTGTTTCCCGGGGGACATTTTTCCTTGATGCACCGCTATGTGCGTTAGCATGCTAATGTTTGAAGCAGCTAGTTGAGTTGGAATTGACTGGTGTGCAAAGTGAGTTGTGCTAATAAGCTTTAATAAATAACATAAAATAAACCCGATCATAATCTTTTCTTAACCCTCCTCCTTCACGACTGGACCAAAATGGGTGACTACTGTCTCCAACCACCAGTCAGAGAAGAACAGACACAGAGGGGGGAAACAGTGACACAGACAGAGGTACAGTAAAAGAAAAAAAAACTCAATAAGCAGGGTTTGTACATTTTTTAATCAGTTTTGCTGTGATGAAAAGAAAAATACCGTCAAATACCGTGAAACCGGCGAAAATGTTGAAAATACCGTGATATAAAATTCTGATCATATTGCCCAGTAGGGATGTCCCGATACCACTTTTTCACTTCCGATACGATACCGATATTACAACTTTGAGAAATGTCCGATACCYATATTGACCGATACCGATATTGACCCATTACCATAACAGTACGTCACACACTTTTACCTAGTTTGTAATGTAAAATCTTAGAAAAGTCTTGATCAGGTCAAACAGTGAAAAAGAGTAGATATGAGAAAAACTGACTCATTTATTTTTAACCAATGGATCACATAGGCCTACATTTTAAACTGAAGAACATTATACAATTTAATAAATAAAATAAATTACAATACCCTGAAAAAGTATCTGGGGATCTTGTTCACGAATGGGGGAAGAACGGAGCAGGAGATCGACAGGCGGATTGGCGCAGCGTCTGCTGTAAAGCGGGCACTGTACCGGTCCGTCGTGGTGAAGAGAGAGCTGAGTCAGAAAGCGAAGCTCTCAATTTACCGGTCGATCTACGTTCCTACCCTCATCTATGGTCATGAGCTTTGGGTCATGACCGAAAGAACGAGGTCCCGGATACAAGCGGCCGAAATGAGTTTCCTCCGCAGGGTGGCTGGGCTCTCCCTTAAG